GAAGCTGATTTTCCTGGCTGGCCCAAGCATAAGTACTTCACCCTGCTCCACCCTATTCTCCCTCCTAACAACCCAAACAACACCCTTCCCTTCATCCACCTTCAACAGTGGCACCAAACCAAGCATCTCTCATTCTTGTCTCTGCAGCTAAGCAAAGAGTACTCCCTTCCAACACACACACACACACACACACACACACACACACCCCACACACACACACACCCCACACACGGAGGTATGCACATCCACACTTCCTCCCTCCCTTTCTCTCCTTGAAATGGCTTCCATTCTCTCCCCTTGGAACTAGTAGCAACAGCAATGCTCACTCTACCTTATCCTGCCCACAGTGCCCTTACAGATACGGCTGTCCACACAGAATAACTAGAGAACTCTCAGCACGAGTGCTTTGACACCAGGCCATGTACCCATTTAAAAGGTGAAGTAACAGGTTACCAAGTCTCAGGACAAGCCATAGACTCAAAGATGGCTCTTTCCTCCCTCAAGCAACATCTAATTTGCTCCATCTCTGACAAAAAACTAGCCATTTCTGTCTCAGGCACTTCAGACATTGAAATGAGGAATCCAAAGCATACAATGACAACCAACAATGACAATCAGAGTCTCCTATATAATCTCCTATCAAGTCTAAGGGTCGTCCCAACTTTTCAGGAGAAGTTTCCAATCCTCAGTGGAGGAGATCATGGGCCTGGAACTGACCATACACATTGTAAGATTTTTCTGGGTTACTTAAAGTATTTTCCAGGTAGCCCAACAGTGTGGTCGTTAAGGGAGCCAGAATCCACATGATTGACCTCATGGTTCGAATCCCAGCAGCTTGAAAAACATTCCAGACATGTGTGAGTGCATGCCCGAAATCCCAAGAAGATGGAATGGAGAAAAAGAGATTGTGGCATGTCCATGTCCATTGGGGACGCTTTCTCCCTCCCCGTCTCCCTCTTTCTTTCTCTGCCTCTGTCTGGTGAGTATACACTCCTCTGGCAAATTTTTAAAAAGAAAGGAAAAAAAGAAAAAGAAAAAAACCTACTTTCCATCATCTGGCCCACTCAACTACCATAAATGCTTTGGGATTTAAATACTTAAGCAGGATCTTCAAAATGTTCATGGAAGATACATATTATAAAAAACTATGCACAGTCTTAAAATGTTTTGCACCAAAATAACCTCATACCTTAATACCATTTTTTCATAAACTTTGTTTTGAAAAGAGTTTCTTTATTTCTTCCATGAGAGAGAGAGCGAGCGAGCGCGAGCACAAGAGAGAGGAAGCAGCACCCCCACAGGTCTTCATACCACATTCACCTCCAGCTTCAGCCAGTCCTGAATCATGGGCACATGCATGGGTGTACTTGGTGGTGGTGGATCCAGAACCTTCCATATAGATCAGCCTCACAGGGCATCATGGTTTACTGCTGTGCTCTGCCTGCCTCCTCCATGAACTTTTTGAAGTACTGTTGAGTATATATGTACATAAAATCTCAGAAAACAAGTGACAGAATGAAAAAAGCTCAAGCACCACCACAGGCCTTTCTTTTATTTCCAGATCTTAAGAACAGAAAGCATGCTTCCTGCTCTCTTCTGTCTTCCCACTCTCTTCTGTCCCCACTACAACAGCACCAGTGGAAGTCACTGCCCTGTAAAGACAGAGTCAGGCTTCAGAAGGGAAGCAGGGCAATCGAGCTGTGTTGCCTCTTTTTGCAAGGTGTGTACGCTTTTGCAGATTCACAGAGCAAGCTTTTTAACAAAAGCTGGATTTCAGAAAAGGGCCTGGTGATAGACAGGGATGGAGGAAGAGAAAAGTGGCTTGTAGTTTTAGAGAGAACAGGATAAGAGAGTCAGGAAGAACTTAGGGTCAAATAACCATAACCATAAGCTTTAGCAGTCCTTTGGGGATGCTAAGCTTTAGCTTTAGAAGAACTTAGGGTCATATAACCATAACTTAGGGTCAAATAACCATAACTTAGGGTCAAATAACCCTAAGTTCTTCTAAAGAACTTAGGGTCAAATAACCATAACCATAAGCTTTAGCAGTCCTTTAGCAGATCTTCGGCTTCAAGCCAGAGCACATGCACTTGTATTTCAAGGACTCTGTTCAGTTTGCATATTCTATTCTAAAAATGTAAGGCAACATTTTAAAAATGGAAGATTCCACATGAAAAACAAAGCCCATTTTACCTCATGGCAGTCATAGGTGGAGCCAAGAGGTCGATACTCCCTAGTGCCCCAGGTGGCTGACCACATGGTGAATCATCTATTTGGACACATTCACCCTTGCCACTCATTACTATTATCCCCAACTCAGGACATCATTGTTTTATTTCTCTCCCTTACCCCTAAGAAGTTTAAGTTTATAGCCTTTGTCACAATACGTTATTATGTTGCTGAACAGTAATACCTGGGTGGTATAGAGATTTATTTGATTCATAGTAAGATAGAGATTTATTTGATTCACAATTCTGGTGGCTAGAAAGTCCAAGGGTATGGGGCCTGTATTTGGCCAGCCTCTGCTGCATCACAACATGGCAGAAAGAGGTGGAAAGGTCACAGTGAGCAAGTGCAAAGAGAAAGATCTACAGGCAGCCATCTTATCATATCAACCTGCTCTCTGTTACTCTCTCTTGTGTTAACCAATCCCTTCCTTAGAGAGTAAGAACTTACACGCTGCCTTGGGATGGTCTTAATCTACACATGAGGGCAGTGCTTCCATGATCCAAATACCACCCATTAGGCCCCACCTCTTGAAGGTCTTACCACCTCTCAACCCCCATTTCATTGGGGACCAAGCTTCTAGCACATGAACTTTCAGGGGACAAACCATTGCCAACCAGCCCCTAAATTAGTCCACTCTAACTCATCCTACAAATGGGAAAGATACAGCCCAGCATGAGAAGTCACTTGGCAAAGCTCACACAATTTCTCCTTTATACTCAACCAAAGTCTTCTGAACCTCTGCTTTTGGTGTAGAATTCTGAGTCAAAAAAACAGTCTTGTCTCTGAAGTTGCCTCTGCCAGTTGAACAATCTTTGACAGAACTGGCTGATTTTTAAGACTTCTTCACTTTCATGAACTATATATATTCTCATGCTCAAATAGCAGCTTGGAGGGTCTTCTCACTACCAGGGTCTGAGTTCTGGGCACATTTCTTCACCTTAATGATGGTGCTGGGGATGCACATTATCAAATACCATTTTACAGAAGAGGATGCACAGATGGGCTGAGCTGCACTTGAACCCAGGCCTGTCTGATGCCAAAGCCTGTATATTTGTAGTATGCCTTCCTGCCTCACAAATACCCACCATCTGCCCCAAACAAACAAACAAACAACAGAACTCACATGGCCCTGAGTGAGTTAAATGATAGATAGGTTCCTGAGCAAAACAGCAAAACAGTGCCTGAAACTGTCACTGAGTTTTTCTATCTTTGCAGCTGCCCCCGCTATGTTAGAAGTTACCCTGCCTTGTGTCTCCCCAACATATAGAGCTTAACTTTGCTTGGAATTACTAGTCAACAGATACTAGTTTTTTAATCAAATTTTACTAAAATCAACCTCTCAGAAGATGCCTTTAAGAGTTTCCAGAAAGGTCTTTTCCTCTCTGCTTATCACTGTCCCTTCTAGTTTTATTTACCTGAGGGAGAGTATACCTCATAGTACCCAAAATCACAAGTTTGCTTGTTTTTTACAAATAGCACAAGTGGTGCTAATAGTTTTCTAGTTTTCCAGAGTAAGTTAGGCCACAAACTAGATTCTAAATTTTTTTAATTAAAAAAACACATATGCATGAAGTACTTAAATACCAAAGCAGATAATTTGCTGTCTCAGAAGTAATGATAATAATATACTTACAACCCAGATGATGACCAGCCTTCTGGATAAATAAGGATCAATATTCCATTGAGTGAATGGAAGAAACGTGATATAGAACACTTCTTGACCCAAAGCAGCTGAAAATCTGAACAGGTAATAGTAGAAATAATTCCTCACAATGTACTTCTGTACATAAGCCTAAAAAACAAAAGTTGGGAAATCCAGTGAGTTCATTAGACAAGTCAGTATAGGGGGAGTTTTGAAAACCACTGTCTAAAACTCATAGGACTGGTTTGCCAAAGTATTACCTCCACTTGCATTATATTGTTACAGTATTATTATAGTCAGTCTACAGCATTGTTGATCTATCAACCCCAATTTTTTCCAAACAAATAAAGTATTAAATAAGTAACATCCAAAATGAAGGTACCAGGAAAAGACACACAAAAAAGGCCAAAGCTTTTCTTCAGAACGCTAGAAATTCTAGACACCATGTGGGTCTCTGATTATGGTAGGCAGAGTAATGATCCCCTCAAAGATTTTTATGTCCTGATCCCTAGAACTTCTGACTCTATTACCTTACACAGAGAAAGAGACTTTGCAGATCTATGTAAATTAATCACTGTAGACAGATTATCCTGGATTTTCTTTTTTCCCCATTTTATTGATTTACAAAAGATATTAATTAATCTAAATACTCTCAATAGCAAGTATGACTGATAAATACATATCTATGAGCACATTTCTCACTTTAGGCATAAAACTTAGTGCGTAGAATGAACATACTATAAAGTAGCACCTAGCAGGACCGGCAAGTGCCATAGTGGTTAAGGGCACTGGACTCCCACATGGCCAACTGTGGTTCGAGTCCTGGACCTGGCGGCTTGCTTTCTCAATTTCTCTCTCCTTCTCTCTCACTCTGTCCCTCTCTGGCCAAATTAAACAAATAAATAAATAAAGTTAAATAAAATAATTTTTTTAAAAAAGTAACAGGACCAACAGTTAGTGTAATGGCTATGTCGCTGGATTCCCATGTAGTCGACCGCAGTTTGAGTCCTGGACCCGGTGGCTTAAAACTCATGCCAGGCGTATGTGCATGCGTGCCCAAGATCCCAAGAGGGGAATGGAGGAGAAGGGACTGCGGCATGGCCATCCCCCCTGGGGGGTGATTTCTTGCTTTCTGTCTCTCTGTCTTTCTGGTGAGTGCACGCACCCTATAGCAAAAACCTCCCCCCCCCCCAAAAAGTAGAACCTAGCTGAGGCTATATAGTTTACTGCAGTCATTAAATAAGGTTTTTTTTTTTTTTTAATTTTGAGAAAAGCAGTTTTAGCTTTAATAAATAAAAATTTAAAATTTTAAGAAAAATTTGCTTAAGATTTAAAGCCAGGAAAAGATTAGGATTCTGTTCAAACAGTAGGTAGATGAACCTATCAACAGCTCAAGAGAAGACAAAAATCCTTAAATTTCACAAACAAAACACAGAAGAAAATCAGTAATGTTTTAGTCAGAAGTCATATAATTGTATTCACCAGTTTAGTCTTATGCAATTAATGTCTCTGATGTTGAATTTGCAGTTACTGTGGTCCAATCTTTCCACTTAAATTCTGAAAATTAACATTTAATGTTATTATTGATCTTTCCGGACTTGTTTTTTTGTACTCTTATTTTATGTGTCTGTCTTCAGTTTTCTTGGTACAGCACTCCCTTCAGAACGTCTTGAAGAGCTGGTCTGGTACTGGTAAGTTCTTTGGCTTATCTGAGAATGCGTTTGTCTTTTCTTCCCATATGAAGGATGATCTTGGTGGGTAGAGTATTCTTGATTGAAATTGTTTTTCACTTAACATATGAAGCATTGATCTTGGTGGGTATAGTAGTCATAAACATTTTAACAATCATAGCAAAGTAAAATGTCAACACTGAAAATGAGGAGGTGACTTTGTAAAGACTCCCTGGGTCTGGGTTTTGCTTTGCTATACACAGTGTCTGAATCCCCTTAAAATCTGGGGGGATTCAGAGAGCAGGTTATACCTATTTATTCTGCAAATGTCACCCCATGCCTAAGACGGCGAGTACCTGTGCTGGGTCCTGAGGGTAATCAGAGGAGCAGGTACAAGGCCTGGCTTCAAGGAGCTCTTGTCTCGTAGGAGTGTCAAAGAGTATCATTGGGGAAAATTATTTATTTATTTTGTTAGGTTTTTGCCATAAGGTGTATGTGCTTGCAAGAGAGAGAGAAAGTGAGAAATCACTCCCACAGGGGGAATGAACACACCACTATCCCTTCACTATTCTCCTCTCAGGATTTTGGGTATGCACGCACTCACGCCCAGTGTGATTTTTCAAGCTGCTGGGTCCAGGACTCAAATAGTGATTAGCCACATGCGAGTCCAGTACCTTAACCACCACACCACCTGCTGGCCCCAAGGGAATGAATTTTTGGAGGACCAATATTGTGTCTGAGGCCTTTAAAAAGGCAAGGTACTTTTATACTTGAGCAATATAAAAAGATGACCTTGGAAATCCCAAGGATATAACTGTACTTGACATTGTTGGCAGCTTACCAACTAGGCATTTCTCTCTTTTCCCTCCATAAGGGGTTCCCAATTTCATTCCAGCTGCTCTGTCTCCCCCACACAGTTCTGTGACTCAGGGAGAAGTCTACACCACTCTCATCTCTAGAAGTAGATCTAGATTTGTCTGAACAAGTCATGGTAAATAAGAATTAAGCTTCAAGGCAAACGGTGCACAGGACTAACCTGGGATGGTGACCGCTCAAGGTTAAGCACTTGCTGTAAGCTAAAAGAGGATCTCTCATGGGTATAAACTTTTAAATGAACCCAAATGACAGAGAATGGCAATAGATCCATCCTGTTATAGAAAAGAAAATCATGCATAAAAGGAACTAAATAAGGAAATATACCATTCCACCTCTCTGCTAAGATTACAGCTAGATTTACAAAACAAGGTCAAGGGACTGGGACATATAAATAAATGACAAATTCCTCTCTTGTGAGCTCCTTGATGTAAGAGCCAGTCTCTAAATTCTGTTTTATAACACACATTAGCAGGCTTGACCTTGGGACAAACCCTGTGGAATCCCTTTTTACATAAACGTTAGTTATTTTAACTCACTAGCTACCAGGCAACCTTGTAGTCTGTCCTGCTATGAAACTTTACAAGAAGTTTTGCAAAACTCTGAAGAGGGAGAAATCCCTCCTTGCTATCATTTCATAGTACTCAAGTGTTATATGATATTATAAAGACCCAGGAACAAATATTTCCCTCCCTAGAAAGTATCGAAGACCAAGTTGGAAATCTATTTTTTTTTAGAATTATTTATTTTGCTTTACTTAATATTTTTATTTTTTAATTTGATTAGAGAGAGACAGAGAGAGAGAGAGGAAGGAAAAGTGAGAAAGCAAGCTACCAGGTCCAGGACTTGAATCACAGTCAACCACGTGGGAGTCCAGCGCCTTAACCACAATGCCATCTGCTGGCCCCACCAAGTTGGATATCTTAACCCTAGTAAACAATTGAAAAGACCATCAAGATAACAGTAAATTGCTTTAGTGTCACATATTACTCATTAATATCTTTAGACATGCTTTTTATGACCTCTTAGGAATTCTCTTTTTAGGGAGGCGTTAAATATTTTCTAAATTTTCTTAGGAACAAAAGACTAAAGGTGAAATTTAAAATATCAGTATATATGTAAGACATTCAAATAATTTCTTTGATAACTTCTCTGTGTATGTGACTAAATAGCATGAGGGCCAATATTTGTCTCCAAATTCCTGGGGGATATATTTAAAGTAAAACAGTAAGCACATGTCTTTTCAGAAAAAGAATTTGAGTTTGGACTGCAGTAAGTGTCAGTGTGTATGATTTCAATATATCTTCAGAAGTAACAAGAATTTCAGTTCCACTTCTGAAACACCAACTCGTGTTGGTGCCATGGTGAAAGATCAGAAAAAGGAGATGCAGGGATTAGAAACAGAAATGGTAGGGGAGACCAGCAGATGGCAAAATTGAGGCGGGAGTGCTGGGTGATCAGACACAACACCCAAGTTAGTTCTTGTCCAACGCTTTTAAAGAATTAGACACAGACACAGAGAGGGAGGGAAAGTGGAATTTATTAAGGAAGGAGAATAAGCTTCCAATGTAGTGGAAGGGGGTCTGAATGGGTTTGCCAACAAGGGGCCAGAGGAGAGGGATTTTTATCTAGCAGTCCGAGCAATGGGCTGGCTTTCTAATGAGGAAGTGGGCTTTAGAAAATGGTTAACATGGTAGTCTGAATGATTTATTATCTTGTTTTTTTTTTTTTTTTTGTGGTACAGACCATAGCATCCTGTACTTCTGGTGAGAATACAGTTACTGAATAGAAAGTTACCCTTAACTACAGTTGATCTGAGTCTCAGTACAGTCAGCTTTTGGCTGTGAAAACTTAGCCACTGTGGCTCCATCTTGGGTCTTATTCTGTTCTGTGTGCTCAATATTCCCATGTCTTGTGTTATTAATAAGGAATCATATATTTTTTAGAGATGTGTAAAATGTGTGTATGTTGTACATTAATCAGACCATAGAGGAAAAATACAGAGACTGCACCAAAAAGGAAAACATATGACCTCTTCACTTACCTACAAGTGGGGGTCTAACTCCTGTCTCATCATGGTTATGTCACTAGATGCCCACATAGTCAACCACGGTTTGAATCCCAGACCCAGTGACTTAAAACTCATGCTAGGCATGTGTGCATGTGTGCATTTGTGCATGTGTGTATGTATGCCCAAAATCCCAAGAAGAGAATGGAGGAGAAGGGATTGCGGTGTGGTCATCCGCCCAGGGGGTGATCTCTCACCTTCCGTCTCTCTCTGGCAAGCACATGTGCCCTATCGCAAAAATCACCCCCCTCAAAAAAAAAAAAAAAAGAATGGAAATGGTATAAAAATGAAACAGCAGGGAAAGGGGCAAAAACTAAGCAAAAGGAAACTAAGTCCCAGAACTTCTCTCTTTTTTTTTTTTCCCTAAGAGATTATTGCTATAGGATACGTGCACTTGCCAGAGAGACAGAGAGCAAGAAATCACTCCCTCACCCCCCAGAGGGGATGATGGCTATACCCCAATCCCTTCTCTCCATTCTCTTCCTGGGTTTTGGTCACTCATACACACGTGCCCGGTGTGAGTTTCAAGTCACTG